GGATACTTTAGTCTAACACAAGGTTGTCAGTTATGAAGGAGAAGAAGAGTGTCGCTTTGAAGGCACACAACGTCTGGAGTTGATGAAAAATGAGATTGAGCTTAATACGCTATCATATTCTCGTTATGCTCCTGAAGAACTTCGGCCTAGTATATACAACTGTGTATTCCAAGTATTTTCGACCGACAATCCCAAGTCACCTGTGCCATTTTTGTACTTGTATATCCAGCGCCCAAGTAGCATGGTTCTGCCAGAAAGCCCTAGACACCAGAGAAACTTGGCCCAGAATATAGAATTTCGCCTTTTTTTCAGTTTTGTGCCTGTGACTGCTTGCCGAGATGTATTGTTCGTCTTTTTTCTTTCCAGTCAAAGAAACCTTATTTGACAGGGTGCCGTGAAGCAAATCAAGCAGCTCATGTGGCTGCAGCACTGTTGGGCCCCAAGGCCACCTCCCTCACTTGTGTTGGTCCTAGCCTGTCTCAAGATGGCTTGCCATGTCCACCTGTTTAAATCTGTTCAAGGGAACCTAGAGTTACACATAAGAGTTTGATCAAACTCTTGTAAAAACCTGTAATTACAAAATTCAAACACTAAAGTCCCTAGGGTCAACTAAATGTATTCCGGTAGGGTTGGGGTCATGGAATGAACTGGTTGAGTGATCGCTCAGGAAAATCAGCTACATCGCTCTGAAACATTGCTTTAAATTAATTGAAGGAGCTCAGGAATAAAAACCAATACACCTCCATTTCAGAGAGTACAGAAGCAACTTGTGCCTCAAGGAATTAGTGTTTAGGTTTTAACTTCTCCTTTCAAATCCCAGTTGGCTAAGGTGTGTGGTAATCCCAGAGTTAACAAAACCACGATTTGAGTTGTGTTGATGGTTTTGGTCGAACCACTTTAACTACTTACCTTGATTTTTTCTCTTTGATTTTTGATAACTTAAGCTGTCATGGTGTTTGTTGAAACACTATCGTTTACTTTCGATACAAGTGTTTGCACGCTTGGGAAGGCAATATTTGCCTGTTCTAATGACTTGTGTTACGTTGATTTATCTCTCTAGCTTATTGTGCCTACCATATGTAAATGATAACTGTATTGTGCTTATTCTGTAAAATAATACAGCAGTACAATTATCGTAGCAACCAACAAATTTTCCTCACTGTTCTTAGGTGCAGTTTGGGATTGAGGTGATTAAAAAAAAAGCTACTATGAAAAAAAGCTATGAGAATTTTTGATGTTTGGTAAACTTTGAAAAGCAGCTTTGTTTCAAAGTTTGGGGTGAAAAAAAGCCCAAAACCTGAAGCTGACAAGAAGCTGCAAATAGCAGCTTCCAAAAACAGCTTATTTTCAAAACACACGGGTGAACAGTGTACATTTAATGAAATATTGAATAACCCAAAATTGCCCTTCTTTCCCTTCACCTACGCTCTCACCTTCAGAGCTCTCGCACATAACCCAAACCAGGAGAAAACCACTTTCTTGTTCGCTCGTTCTCTCGTTCCAAAAACTAGTGATCTCTCTCGTTCTCTCGTTCTTTCGTTCTCCAGGTTTCTCCAGGTTCCTTTGGTAAGCTTCTCTTGTAAAAATTTGTTATTTATTTGTTTGGATTTTTCAAATTGGGGATGGGGAGATTAGGGAAAGAGGGGTGGGAAGAGCAAAGGGATGAGGGTATGGGTGTCGGGAAAAACAATTGGGGATGGAGGGTGGGGAAGAATTAATTGGGGAAGGTGATATGGTTTGTGGAAAAAATTAATTGGGGAAAAAATTAGGGTTTGTGGAGGAAACAAAAAAAATTGAGAGAGAAGTTTGATTACTTATGTATTCGTTTTTTTAAAGAAGGTCTGCTTCTGATTTGGGTTTGGGTTTATGTAAGGGATAATTTCCTATAAAGCTTTGCTCTACTTCTAATCTGTGAACTGTGCTTCTGATTTGTCATGTGTTTCTTGCGATTCAGCTCACCCCTCTACGACGCCGTTTCATTGTCTTCTTCAAGCTCTCGCAGTCTCTTCTGAAACTCCAACCTCCAGGTTCGTATCTTATCTCTCTCCCCTGCTATTGTGTTTTATATTTTTTTTTCTGAATTCTTCATTTATGCTATTTGTTTTTTTTTTTTTTTGGTTTTTTCTTCTGAATTCTTCAGTCAACCATTACATGAAATTTGGTTATGGAGAGTTTCTGAATTCTCCTGCAAACTTGGTTTGGTAGTTGTGTAACAGATCATGGTCTGTGTGTGTTATGGTCTGTATGTATTATAGTGAGGATTACACTTTTGCCAAATGTGTCTATTATGGTCTGTGTGTGTGTGTGTCTATTATGGTCTGTGTGGTTTTCATTCGGTTTCTTTTCAGACAATGCAATGCAATGCATGTATGCCTAAACAGAACCATATGCTTTGACCTGCTTAGCTATCCCTTAATCTACTGCAGTGTCTTACTTTTGCTATTTAAGATAAAAAAAAACTTGGATAGAACCTGATCTACTGCAGTGTCTGTAATTTCCAATGTTTCTAATTGTTTCCAATGTTTCTTGCAAATTCGTCATGCCATTCAATTCCTTTGCAGTTTCCCTAACATTTGCAAGGAAACTTTTGTACTTAAAGCTATGGTAGAACTTGTTATAGATGGCTTTTGCAACTGATGTTTTCCCCATTCCACCCATGCCCCAAATTCCGACCATTTGAACATCATATGATCCCTTAAGCTGTTAATCTCGTTCACCCGAGAATCTATTCCTACTTGGTAGACAGCTACATTTTAATGTGGTATCGAGTTGCTTGATCTCACCAATAATTCTTCTGATAAACTGCGCCTCATGCCTGTCAATTAGATTTATAAGCATATGCAATACACATTCTTCAATTTCTTCTGTTCCCTAATAAAAAATAGTGAATAAGGAATAGGTTAGTGCATATGTTCAATAATTAATTACATACAAACATCTGCAGTTGTTATTCTATTGTATTATATGGAACCAAATACTTATAGATTTCCCTCTCATCCTCATCACTTTAGTGCATCAAAACTTCAAGTATAGAACACTTCTTGTATTATATGGAACCAAGTACTTACAGATTTCCCTCTCATTCTCTTGTATTATATGGAACCAAGTATTATATGCAGTTGTTATTCTCTTGTATTATATAGAACACTTCTTGTTAGTTCACTGTATTCTTCATTAGGACAGGGATTTCGAAAGGCATGCCAACTAAAGAGCTCAAGAGCTTCTTCTTCGTTCATTTTTCGAGCCATATATATTATATTAACTTCAACTTGCTCCAGTAGGTGTCGATCTCTGGTTGTAATAAAAATTTTACTTCCTCGACCAAAGGAGTCCCGAGTTATAGCTAAAGCATTTAAACACAACTGCAGTAAGGGATCATTTATATATGTATGTATATATATGTATGTATGTATGTAATTTGGTGCTGCTGAAATTGTTTTTACAGGAAAACAGCTGCATACCTGTTTTAGTTTTAAATTTTCTTACACTTCCCGAACTCGAAAATCAATGAAATTTTGATACAACTTAGTTTCAGGTGTCTACTTTGGATCTGGAAATTTTCACGTGTTTTGGTTGCACGAGCTATTTTTGGTGAATTTTACGGTTCATGTCACTTTTGTTATTCTCTTTTGGTTATATTTATAATTCGCTCAACTTTGCTGGCTACATGCTCTCAATCATTGGGGAAAATGAAAATTGGATTCGTGATTTCACTGTCATAGTTTGCCTTAATTTCACAGTTAGTTTGTCAAACCCGTGTTTCTGTTTATGATGAGTATATCTGTGTGCTTCAAGACATTTGATTTAACAAAAAGGGTTTTCTTAGAAATGAGATCAAATTCTTTCTTCATTATTTAGAAAACCTGTGAAGGGGACATACATGGGTAATGCTACTTCTGTCTGTGTTTGATTGGTTTTTGCCAAAATTGATCTTTTTCTAACGAGCGAATAGTATGTTCTGCAAACTACTATTGGTTTCTATTTCAGGAAAATGTCTTTAAGCTGCTTGAGAAACAACAATTGTGTTACGTAGCATTGTTTTTATGTCCAATAATTGACTGGTTATAAACGCCTTATGAAACGGCATTGATTGTATATAAAATATAAAGCCCAAACATCAATTGTGATTTGCGCATGATTGTGAGATCAATTGTAATATAAAGCCCAAACATCAATTGTGATTTATATATAATATAAAGCCCAAACGTCTTTGGTTGTCGTCTTGTTGATAAGTAAAGTTTCTTCTGTTCTGTATTTTCCTTTTCAGCACACTTATCGTTGTATTGTGTAACCGTAGATTATCTGTTTCCCTTTGAGTTGGCCCACACCATAAATTTATAGAACCCAAACTGTGATGTAATCATTTATTGGTTATGTATGTATATGTATTTATATGTATGTATATATACAAACTGTGAATCAAAACTGTGATGTAATCTTTTGTATGTATATGTATTACAAACTGTAATCTCTTGTATTACAAACTGTGAACCCAAACTGTGATATTGTCGACGATCATGGGCTTCAGTGACTGCTATGTACACAGTGAGTGTACGTGCACGCATACTACCATAGGCAATGATCAAGAGATAGATGAAACCAATGGTACATTTTGGCACAAGCTAAGATTCCAACCTAAGAAGCCGCATCTTTGTCTTCACGAAACTTAAATCCGCACTCAAGTCTTATTGCCACTAGGAGTTCGGGAGACACAACACCCTGAGAAGAAGCCTTTTTTCCCTATGTTAATTCCGTTCCTATCATTAAGGCTCATGGGAGAATCATTTATTGGTTATTTCTTGATATATATATATATATATGTATGTATGTATATGTATGTATATATACAAACTGTGAACCCAAACTATGATGTAATCTTTTGTATGTATATGTATGCATATGTATTACAAACTGTAATCTTTTGTATTACAAACTGTGTACCCAAACTGTGATGTAATCATTTATTGGTTATTTCTTGATATATATATATGTGTATTTATATGTATGTATATATACAAACTGTGAACCCAATCTGTGATGTAATCTATTTGTAGTTGTATGTGGATCATTTATTGGTTATTTCTTGGTTATATTACAATATCATTTGTTCGTGTTTTAATATATATATATATATATATATATGTATGTATATATACAAATCAGTAGTTGGTATCGATGGCAAAGAAGGGGGCATCTTCGTCAAATCCTGTAGCTACATGGAATGCGCACAATATATCAATATTTTGTGATGTTTGCATCAAGGAGGTTGAGGCCGGACATCGTCCGGGCACTCACTTTGACAAAGAAGGATATGCAAATATTAGAGCTAACTTCAAGGCAGAGACAGGGCATGATTATGAAAAAAAGCAACTAAAAAATAAGTGGGATGCACTTAAAAATGAGTGGAAGTTGTGGAAAGAGCTAGTTGGTAAAGAAACTGGCCTAGGGTGGAATTCAAGCAAGGGTACCGTTGATGCCTCTGAGGAGTGGTGGAACAATAAAATTCAGGTTTGTGTATTTATCTTTTAATATGTATTATGATATCATGCAATATGTATTAACCATATTCTTTCTTACTTGTAGATAAACAAAGAATATGAAAAATTGCGAAAAAAGGCATTAGTCCTGAGATGGAGGACAAGTTAAATAGGATGTTCTTGAGTACAATTGCTACCGGTGAACATGCCTGGGCACCTTCATCTGGAGTACTACCACCAGAGTCAAGAGAGGAATCTGTAGGACAAATTGATTCATATGATGAGGAAGAAACTGAGACTATGCAGGATCTAAGGCAAGCAAGTAGGAAGGGAAAAAAAAGAGCAGCTAACCAAGGAGAATTGCAAAAGAAAAAGGTTGATAAGAAAGGGAAAAAAATTGGAGGTGCTGCAAAACTTTGTGGTCAAATTGACCGTCTTGTTGAAGCTTATGAAACTAAGAGTTCTGCAAACTCATTGATGAGGTCGTTGCATATAGGTAGTAGTATTCCGGAAGTGTTAGCGGTTGTTGCATAATTGCCTGGTTGTGAGCCACCTAGCGAGTTATGGTTGTTTGCTACATGTTTATTTTGTTTTGCAGAGAAGCGAGATGTGTTTACCACGATACAAGATCCTGAAGTCTAGCTGACTTGGTTGAAATATATGTTCAACAAAGAACAATAAGAAGCTATAACTATGAATTAGGACTTTGTGTAGTTTGTACTTTGCATTAAGACTATGTGTTGAATGTTGCTTGTATTTTGTGTTTATTGAATGTTGGATTATGATTTCTTGTTAAACGTTGGATTGACTTGTTCTTGAATGTCGGATTATGACTTCTTAGTGATTGTTGGATTATGACTTGTGGAATGATGAACTATGTGTTAGGTTACAGGTATATTCAATATGAACACCTCTGATGATGATGTTGAGGAGTTGGATGATGGTCTAATTATATGCGCTGTAGCGAGAGCTGTTGAAACATATTATTTAAAATATGTCCACAAAACTCCATGTATGAATTCTTCCTATACAGGTATTATTTGGTTGATGGAAGTACTACAAGGAAATGATGTGCGATGCTATAGAATGTTTAGGATGAACAAAGATGTCTTTTATAGATTATCCAATGACTTGCAAACTAATTATGGATTGAAAGGTTCAAGGAAAATGAATGCAATTGAAATATTAGGAATGTTCTTGCATATGTTGGGACATGGTGTGAAAAATAGATTAGCTCAAGAGAGATTTCAACATTCTGGTGAGACTGTTAGTAGATATTTTGGTGTTATGTTGGATATCGTATGTAAGATGACAATAGATATTATCAAACCAATGGATTCGGAGTTTTGTGGTATTCCCCAAGAAATAAGGAGAGATACAAGATACATGCCTTATTTTAAGGTAAAGTTTGACTCGTCTTCTAACTTATTTGCAAACTATAAGTGTAGGTTGACGGTTTTCTTCTATATTATTATTTTAAGGATTGTATTGGTGCCATAGATGGAGTGCATGTTGAGGCTTCAATACCACCTCCGGATCAAGTTCCATACATTGGTAGGAAAGGAATACCGACTCAAAATGTTATGGCTGCATGTAATTTTGACATGCAATTCACATTTGCTTGTGTCGGATGGGAAGGCACTGCACATGATACAAGGGTTTTTCTATCCGTGCTACGAAATCCAAATTTAAACTTTTCTAAGCCTCCAAATGGTAGTCTTCATACTTTTATTATAACATTTTACATACTTGCTTTGTATAATTATTACAATACAAAACAAATTTTCAATTGTCAGGAAAATATTACTTGGTAGATGCGGGGTACCCACAAATGAGAGGTTATTTGGGACCATATAAAGGTGAAAGATATCATCTCCCGGACTTTCGTAGGGGTGCCGAACCAACGGGTCACAAAGAGGTATTCAACCACAGACATTCTTCTCTTAGGAGCATCATTGAACGAACTTTTGGGGTATGGAAGAAAAGATGGGCAATTTTAAGGGATATGCCTAATTACCCGTTCAATAAGCAAGTGAAGATTGTCATTGCTACAATGGCTCTTCATAACTACATACGGAGGTATTCTGAACGTGATCGTCATTTTGATGACCCCATGGACTTTTGCGAAGAAAGCGATAGTAGTGATGATGATGATGATGAATATCAAAATTATCAAATTGAAGGATCACATGAGATAGAGGCATTAAGAAATAGAATAGCAACAAGTTTGATGAATGCATCTAATTAGACTACTTTCAAGTACATTAACAATATTGTACTAATGAATCCTAGCTATTCACTCTAAAATATTTCTATTAAAGTAGTTTGTCATACTAATTAATATTTAAGATAAAGTTTATAAATATTTTTCTTCTAAAAATAAAATATATTTAGTAATTCACTTTTATTTGTTAAGAAAATTAAATTAATAGCACACCTAGTATTATAGCCTTTTTGGTCATTTCACATAGTCACAGCTGTTTTACAAAAAAGTTTACCAAACACTATCATACTGCTTTTTTTTTTCCAAAAGTGCTTTTACAAAAAAGTTTACCAAACACTTTGCTGCTTTATTTCACAGTTGCTTATTCTCATAGCACGACCGCTTATTCTCACAACAGTTTTTTTTCAAAGCATAGCAATACCAAACCAGCCCTTAAAATCCCCGCCTAGACGCTAGGTAGCATGTCACCTTCCCGATTAATTCTTAGGTGTTTGAAAATTAAGAAAGTGCACTTAGGCGTTCGCCTAGCCTGCCTAAACTTGACACACCCTAACCCAAATATCCAAATGCCACCTGAATGGCACTTGCTGGCCGACACTCGAGAGCCATAATTATATGGATATACAAGAACGTACGGAAACATGTAATATCAAGAAGTCGTGCAAAAAACAACAATCACAAAGAATATACGATCACTAAAGAAATAATAATAATAAAACGCTAGTTAATATAGGGAGAATATCCATCTGTCAACAATCCGAAAGGAAGGATGCACGAATATGTTCAGAGCATACTACTAAACAAGAGTGCTAGTGAAATGAAAGACATTAAGTTACAATTATACATAAAAAGGTCATACGTAGAAAGGAGAGAACAAGATCGCTGGAAGGGAAATGCCTTGATGCTCAGGTTGTATTCCTTATCACTAGGTCCTGAATAGGGCGCAAAAACAAAAGGTGGAAGGGAAATGCCTCGATAGTTGTCTAGTTCAGTTTATAGGAAGACTGAGTCTTCACGAACTATTTCTTGGGTTTTATAGTTGTTCCTGAAAAAAGTGATTGAGGCCAGGATGTTGATTCACAGCCGTCGATGCTGTTATGCTGTTTCTGGTTTGTAGATGGACGATCGTGGTTGTGATGCTGGTTTTAGAAGTACAATTTTTTTTGCAGTAAGCTGGTTGCAGGCCCAGTAGCTCAAGCTGATTTTCTCGATAGTTGATATATGTTGGTAAGAAATATGGCTTGACTATTTGTTTCTGATCGATCAGTGTGAAATAATTAGGTTTTCTATGTTTGACCTGGTTGTCGGTTAAAGGAGTTTTAGTTGCTGTTATGGCCGTAACTGGGTCTTTACCATAGATGATGCTGCATGTAAGTTGGACAGACATGTTGTGATGGTAGAAGATGGACTGGTGTTTTCCTGTAGCTTGATGATGCACATGACCTGTGATTGAGTAACCGTGATGCGGATACCTGTATGAACTGTGGATACTAACTATGAAACCTTGTATGTTTTGGGATGAGTGATTTTCAGGTCCCAAGGGACTGATGCCAATTTAGTGAGGGATGAATTACGAAATATTAATTAATAGGAGGGATTAGAAATGCATCATATGAGCATTACAAAGGCGTGTAAAAGAGATGTGTAAATGACTCTTCCCATGTAGGGATTTGCAAGCCCCCCTCACGTGCCTCTGTAATGCTCATATGGTGCATTTCTCATGCATTTTATTGAACATTGTGCGATCCATTCCTTATTAACTAGATTCAATCCCTTGGGACTTCGGAGATTCCATAATCCCGTAGGGTTAAAAACTACTGTATCTAGTCCCAACCTGTTTTTTCAATTGTATAACCTTTGCTGCTGAATTTATATACATCTTGTATCACACGTTCGTGGCTCTAGCTGTGAAGTGGTAGCTGATCTGTGTTATGTTGTATCATAGTTATGTGTGGGTTCAGGACAAACTGAAGTTGTAGCGAATAACCACCTGCAGCTTGCAGTTGCTGCCATTTTATGAGAATGTCTGCTTGGCTATGTATCTGGCAGGTCCTGATTTCCGAAAGGTTTGCTTTCTGTTATGCCTGATTGATAAAATGAAAGATTTACGTTCCAGAAGCTTGTTTCTTAATCAGTCAACAGTGTCGACATAATAATTGCATTTAACACTTATAAGGAATGGGAGTAACAGTTTCTATGACGGCACATTCCACCCTAAAACCAGGCTTGGGTCCCTTTGGCTGCCTCTTGGTGCTAATGACCTCACCTTTTGCTTTAGCCTCGGCCTTTAGCTGGCCATTCTTAATCTTCCTCATGCGGAATTTTTCAGTGCACCTTGATGGCTGCACATGCTTCACACGCATATAGATCCTCTTCCTGATGATTCTGTTTCCAACCAGATATCATGTAGAAGTATACTGTTTAAATTTTTTTGTGATCAAGTTAAAAAATAAAGCATACAATACTCACTAAATAGTGTGACCAAAGCAGGACAGAATTCCCCTACGTCTAAATCAACAAAACACTATGTTTCCAACGATGATCAATTTGGAAGGCTCAGAATGGGAACTCCAAACGGATCAACATGAAAGATGAACTTACATTCTCCATTCTCTTAAAATTCATCCTAAAGCCTCAAGCATACACCGTATGGAACAAATATCTTAAACACATTATAAAGCACACACAACAGACATATCAATAGCCAATATGCATCATTTCCCAATTAACCTGTAAATCTTTTATCATCTTAATTTCACTGGGTTATTATGATTTGACTTGACATGCTTGATTGACATCAAAGGCTATGTCAAGCCTTATGAAGGTAAGATATTGTAGTGCACCTACAATGCTTCTATATTGCTCTGGGCTGTGATAAGGTTTTCCATCATCTTTCAATAACTTGTGATATGGCAAGCATGGTGTAGGACAAGGCTTGCACTCCTGCAAATCCACTTTATCAATTAACTCTGAGATAAACTTGGCCTAAGGCACAAAGAGCCATTCATGTGTATAGCTGATTTGTAATCCCAAAAAGTAGTTCAATTGACCCAAGTCTTTCTTATCAAACTCTGCAGTGAGGTTTTTAATAACTGCTGAAATGAGTTGTGGACTGTTGCGTATTAAAATCACATCATCTACATATAATAACAACACCATAGTACCAAGTGAT